TTAGAAAAACTATTCCCAGATGTGGAAATCTAGCTGGATCAGACTTTCCCTCCCTGTAGGCTCCATGGGAAAGCATTGCTCTGGTGGCACAGACACAGGTGAAGGACTGGGGCCATCCAGGAAAAATGACAGTGCCAACTTTTCGACTTCCTTCCTTAAATTCCCTGAAGGAAATCAGCGTGGATCTAGAAGTGCCAAGAAAAATGCAAACTACTGCTGTTTATTGCTCGCAGGTCTCACTGCAGCTCGGTACGGGAGAGTCACAGAGCCCAGGCTGCCACGGGGAGATGCCTTTCTCCAAAGGAATCCACTGCTCGAACCCTCTCTAACAAGTATGTTAGCGGCAAGACTATAAAGCAATATAGATCCTATAGACCTGAAGATGTGTGTTAACACAGGAACTTCTGGTACAAATAAGGAACTGAAAAAAGCCTTTACATACAGCCTGTTAAAAAACAACCATAACAAAAACCTCTTAAAACGCTCTTCTGTAGGAAAAAGGTATTTGAACACTTTAAAAAAAAAAACCAAACAGTTATCACTTCGATGCCACCTCACTTAGGAAAAAAAATATTTACTTTAACAAACAATCTGTCCAATTCTGACATCCAAAATGTGTTTTCTAAATGCTCAAAATCCAAGTAAAAAAGTGTCAATTCACTATAATATAACCCTCTACCTCCTCACTCCCAAATTCCATATTAAACCTTTGACTTTTTATTTTCCCTTCCAGTTCAGGACGTCTTTTTCCCCAAAAAGCCTTCAAGCTATTTCATGAGCACATCATCTGTTTTCTGACCCACGCAAATGATGACGTCTCTATCATGGTCTCAGTTACTTCCAGAGTGACTGCTCACGGCTTGCAAATAGTACAGTGTTATTTCTGCAGCTGCCACTTCTCTAAAATTTTCTGGGATCCAAAATACACTTTAAGGTCCAATATGATCATCAGATTCAACCTTCAGTTCACACCCGTGTAACAGGGTTGCTTTCCATGTGGTGGTAAATGAAGACTGAATTTGAGTCGAGCAATGAGCCCAAACTTCGGTGCCAGCAGCATCGAGTCCCTATAATTGTGCTACTTCTGCAGAACAGGGAAAAGAAAGATGGGCAAAGCTTAAGTTTGTCACTTCCAGAGTCAGCTCTGCTCTAACCCCTGTCCCCTGGCAAAGACAGAAAGATGGAAAAAAGGATTTACAAATACAAATTCAGAAGACCTGAATCTTCTCTACAACAATTAATTTTTTTCAGTTATTATCCTGAAGTGCTGTTCTATCTCGTATATGTAATATTACACAAAAAAGCCATTAAAGGTACTCTAGTTCATTTGCTTTGGAAAGTGTTTACTTTTCTGTACACATTTTATTTCTATTCCAAAGTCCAGAAAGATAAAATCCACTCGTGTGCAGGTAAAATGCTTTGAACACACAAAGCACAAGGTAAGTGCTAAGAATGCTGTTACCAGCATGTGGCAGGAACATCTGTACAGGTATACAGCTCTTAAAGGAAAGGAAAGCATGCAGCCGAGAGCTCCCTCCACGCAGCAGGCAGCTGCTTGAGCGCTGGCTTAGGTGGAAGAGACACATTTGTGTCCTTATTGCACTTATATGACTATCAGTGGTTGCTTTCAGTCAAGCCTGAACTACAAGACTATGACTCATGCTTCTTTAACAGAAAAGGAACGCCCCAGTCGGCAGCGCGCTCGATCGCATCATGCACAACCGCGCGGGGAGGGGAAAGCTGAACCAGCTGAACAACTCCATGAAACAACATGTAATGCTCCGATCATGAAATTTTGGACGCAAAGTGCTTCAGAATTGTACAAGCCAGATTTTCAGAGCAATAGCCACCAGAGTCAATCCCGCAAATTTGGCCTCCATCCGGCTGCACCCCCAGTACACAGGGCCTGGGATAGCCCATCTGCAGGCTGCGTTCATCACGTCTGCGAGATACCCGTCGCACTGCTGCCTCGTACAAGGCACAAGCTGGTTCCACTGAACTTGCAACAGACAATAATGGAATATCAAAGTCAAAGCAGTACTTGGAGAAGTGGACCTGGAAATACCGTATTTGTTTCATGAACTTGGTATTTTACATTATTTATAGCTTTTAGCCACTACACATTTTAACCAGACAAGTTGCAGTTGAACTGTAATCAACATTCTGGGCTCAAATAATTTTCAAGGTCAGATTAATCTTGTTACACGTTCTCTCATTGTAAAGTGGCACAAAGTTACGCCTGACTTGCAAGATAAACCTAAATAGAGATCCCTTTGCATGCCATGCAGTTCTATCTAGAATTAATATCAGTTACAAAGAAAGAAAAGAAGTCCTTCACAAAGGCAGAAGAATGCCATTAAGGCTAAAGTTTCCTACAAAGTCACTCTCATTACCCTACTGGCTCTTTTGCAGATCACGGCAGATTCATGCATTCACAGAACTTTACCAAAATCTGGTCCCCCGACAGCCTGCGTGACCCGGCTGTTCACTGGGCAGCTCTGGGCAGCTGCTGTGTGTCTGTCTGAACCAGCAATCCAAGTCAGGCAGGAACGGTGCTATCTTCAAAGCTTGGCACTTTAGTGGTACCCACAAGGTCTGCACATCCTCCAGAAGCCTGCAGCAAGTCTGTAACTCCCTAACCCTATAACGCCCCGATTCCTTCAGAGTCCCAGGGTAGGATTTACAAGTGCAGCTTGTCCTTGCAGACCAAAGCATGGTTGCACAGTTACAGATTCGCACTTGTGTTAGAACAGCAGCTGCTAAATACAGCTGCCGCAAGTTTTGACAGTGGCAACTGCAGCTGCAGAAAACTACAATGAGCAGGCAGCCTAACCACCAGGTTCTGGGAAGACTTGTCCCTTTTGGTGGCTTTTTATTCTGTCTATGATTTCCTACAGAAAGGAACTGGAGAAAGCGCAGAAACAGGCCAGAGAGGAACAGTAATTGGAAAGACCATCATCTCCCAAAAAGCCTCCATGAATTGACACAACAGAAGCAATGACTTCTTTGGCTTTCTTATGAACTTTGGGGGCTTTATGGGTTTGGATTTCACAGTAGAAGATACGTTCACCCTAAGATGCAGGTTCCTGATTGCCACTACTGCAAATGATGGTTTGTTGGTTTGTTGGGTTTTTTTTAGTTTTTCAGGAAGCAATTTAGTTTAGTTTCTTAATGTTAAGTAATGGATCTGGTATTGGTGTCTAGTAAGGGTGCCCACTAATTATAAGCATGCCTTTTATTTACCTGATTGATAGTGATGCCTTGTGGTACATATATGTCTTTACTCCAGGCACTTTTGAAAACATGGAATCCTGATGCAAGAGGCCATTTAAGTGTGGAGGGGAAATAAATCCTTCTCTGAAGGAGCCATTGCACTCTGTTGTGCTGGCCTCAAGCTGTACCGGTTAACAGCTCTGAAGCTGCGATGGCCATTTCTGCTCTGCATCACATGTCTGGATTCTCAACCAGTGCAAACGTGGAGACATAAAAACCCCCCCACACTCAGGTGTAGACCCAGGCAGAGTCCGACATCTCAGCTCCAAACAGGAGAGCAAACGGGCTCCAGTGCAAGAGCCCGCCCTGCTGCAGCCCTGTGAAGCCAGCAGCGCTGCATGGAGGGCGACGCTCCAGCCTACGTGGTGGAGGTGGGGTCTGAGCATGGTTCAAGGCTGGGACATGCTGATGGGAGCCAGCTAAGAGGAGGGTCAGAGCATCTGACACAGCCCTAAGGGCCTCATGCTCCCCCCATGCACTGAAACCTTCCACAAGTCCAAGGCAAGAGCAGTGGGCAGTGCCCTAGGGAGGACTTCATCTCCCCAAGGCACCCACCGCTCTCCCACCCAAACATTATCACCCAGGTGCCTTGGACTAAAGGGAATTTCATCCCGACCCGTTATTTTCTCTCTTTCTCAAAGGCAGCTGCAGACTGATAAACATCCTCAGAAAAGAGAGTGGAGGGGGATTAACTGCAGGCGTTTAACTTCAGGCTTTCAAACCTGCTCACACGGCTGCCGAGAACTACGACTGTTCTCTCCCCTGCTCAGACCTTGTGCAAAGTCTTTCTGCCACGGGCAATGAGGGGGACAGCGGGAGAGCAACCTCAACCCTGCGAAAATGGGACATCCTAATGAAGATACTGACAGAACCGGACACCATCGCTGAGTGCTGCAAAGAGAATCTACATAATGTTACTCTAACAGTTCAGTAAAAATGGCATCGGTAAAAGGAGGCTTTCAAGAAAGAAGTTACTCCCAAACACGCAGGGAGTGCAGCTGAGAGAGCTTCTGTTAGTTTCATTTTGTTACGTAGATCACCAATGTTATTCCTTACGATGTTAAAAGAGCAGGAGGATACTTGAAATAAAAGGCTGTGCATGCACAATACCCACACGAATAAATCCAGTGATCCACTCCAGCACCGGACACGGTGCCCTGCCCTGGCCACTGAGCTGAGCCCTCCCCTCAGGAGGAGCAGGGGAATTCATCACCAAATATACAGTATATTGCAATGGAATGATACCAGGAAACAATACTAAGTGGAGTCTGAATGTGTCCTCCAGGTCATGTTAATCTGCTGTTTAAATCGGCAGAAAAGACAGTGAGGAAATAAAAGCTCGATTCACCCAGCCTGAGATCAAAACTGTCATGGCAATATTGGCAGGTTAGACCCTGATTCTTTAAATAGTACATTGCCTTTGTTAAACAAAAGTCATTCTTTTATTACATAATAGAGATTATAAATAAATGTAAAGTGTGCATGCAGTCAACTGCATATTATACAAGCAATATCTATGTTAATAATTGTTTTCTTTGGCAGGCCAGAATCCAGCTGGACATGCAATATTTACATATCAAAATCCTTGGTGTGTTCAAGTCATATTGGATGCAAGTGAAAATATATATGTATATATATTTACCGTATACACACACACATATATATGTATAAAGGTATATATACACCTCTGCATATATACTGTATACATATATACACATAGGTATATGCTAAAAGTGGATTTCATCTTTTTCTGATTCAGGTGATGCAGGCCTTGAAACACTAAAAATATCCTGACAGGGAATCTGGGGGGGCCGCTGGGGCGATAAATGAGACTTGGGGGAAGAGATCTGGGGTACGTTCTTTTCGGACAATATTTTTAAAATTTCTGCCACCTGCTTCTCAAGGGCAGCCATCCTACTGCTTAGCAGCTGGATATCTTCTTTGAGTTCGTGCTTGACTTCCTGCAGCGTGGTTTGTAAGGCCTGCTCAGGAATAGGGTAGAAAGGATGCCTAGCATCAGCCTGAATGGGGCTGTGCTCCAGGGGGCTGCGAGTCTCACCAGCTTTATCCAAGCGAAGGTCACTTTTTGTTATTCCACTGTCACAAGAGTCTGTTTTCCTCAGTGGGTTTTTATTTACACCATTCTCCGAGTCATTGCACTTGGGGTCATCGGACAGCAACCCCATGGACTCAGCCTTCGTGACGTTGTTCCAGTCCTCCTTCTTCTCCTCGTGGGTCCCCATCGTGTTCTTCAGTCGAAGCCACCCTTTCCCATTCCCGTTTTTCATCCGCATGGGACTGTTTACTTTCAGACATTTTTGGTCTCCGTTTCCATTTGGCTTGAGCTCCATCGCATCCCTGTTGTTCTGCTTCACAGCCTCACTGGTTTTCATGTAAGCCAGGGATGTCTGGATGGGGGTGATCTGAGACACGGTGACCACGCTGGTGCCTGTGATGGAGGCCCCATTCTGTACGCTCCGGCTTTCGACCTGAAGCTGGTTCCTTTCCGGGTCAATGTGGGTTGAGCCTTGATTACGCATCTCCTTTTGCTGTTTGAATTTCTGGAAGAGTTTCCGTACGGGGTGGTCCACAGGGATGCTCAGCGTCACCTCGTTCTTCTGACGCAGGCGCTCCTCTTCTTCCTTCTTGACATCACTGATCTTCCGGAAGATGATCTATAGGGGATAAATCCACAACAGAGTCAGTACCCAAAGGACATCACATCTGGCAAACTTTACCATGAGATGGGGAAACAGTATTGAGAGAACAGCCATTTCTCCTTCCTTTCTATCTTAATTTCTTGCAGTGAATTCAAATGGAGCTGATCAAGGCACAGTAACATCAGATACATGCCACTGCAAAGATAGGGCACATACACACACACACACACACACACACACAAACTTTCTTAGAAGTCTAGATTAAAAGTGGGTTTCACCTTTATTTTTGATGCAGAAGATAGAGCCTTGAAGAACTAAAAATATCCCAACACCAAGAGAAGGAAAGAAACTGAATAAAGAGAAGAAAGAAAGCGAGCAAGAACCCATATACCGTGATACCTACCTACCCATTACTCACACTCATACCTACTCCATCACTATCTTTAGTAGAGATCAAAAGGAAACAGTAATTCAGTAGAGACTACACAGCTGTAAATTTAATTCACTGTACATACCCTTCCAGAGACTGTAAAACACAAATGTGCTCAATACTTTTTAGCTTTGCTTATTCCTAATTTTGTAGGAGTGGCTGGAGGGTGCAATTAGGTTCACACAGCAACACAAGTGTTTCCTGGAGAGTTTATATATCCAATATATGTGGGTGTACTGGGAGCACCATGGAGAAGCACTGTAAAAGGGGGGTGTGATCATAAAACCCAGCAATATCCACCGTTTCGTGATGCCATGCCATTTAATGCTGCAGTTATTTTACCCTGCAGCATCTCTCAGGCTTCTATAGAAAAAGGAATCTGAGCCTCAAGCTGTGGAAGGATTTTATGCATGCTACTCATATGAAATCTGGGTTTTTTTAGGTTCATCCAGTTTTCTTGAATGTGGAACCGAGGCAGAGGAGGGAAACTCTGGTTCTCTAGATGACGATACTAAAGTGAAAAGCAGCACATGATTAAATGCAAAGGGATACTGTTGGTAAGAAAAGTAAAAGAAAGCCCTTGCAATACACAAAAAAAATTGTGTGACAGTCAGATGTAGGTTTTGAAGTATCTGTTTGAGTATCCATATTTCAGTATCTATTTACTTTTTATAAAAAGGCTTCTCACGCCTGTCCGTATCTGCAAAGAAATACTTGCTTTCAAGTCTCACATCTTCAGAAGTTGGCAGACAAGTACCACGATGGCTAGAGCTCCTTCCCTGCATGAATCTGGGATGAGCTGGACTTCAAAGCTTCATTACAGAGCTTTCAAATGCAGTAAATATATCCTTGTGTGCAGCTGATTGATAGATGCAGCTGCTTATAATAATTTGGAAAGTTAACATGTTTATTAGAAGCCCAGTTTAAAAAAAAAAAAAAGACAAGAGAGAAACATGGAAGATACTTTCATCTGACTCATCTGACCTAGATGCAGCGACACATACACTCATTTGGAAGCTCCCCTTCATTAGCGCCTACCCCCATGGAGCAACTCTCTCTCGGACAAGACACTGGGGACAGCAAATAAATACAAGAGAAGTTGCCCTTGATTCAAAATTAAGTAATTACATTTAATCGAAGCCACGCTCTCTAAATGAAGATTTGGAAGGTGGGTTGTGCTGTTTTGTTTGTGCCTTTCTTTCCCTGAAGGGCAGCATGGCACTTCTGGCAGATGATGCAATGCTGAAAGCAACCAGCTCCAAGGCTGTGTCCCCCATCAGAGAACATCCTCTACCCAACGTTTCCCTGCTCTGTGGCCATGACCCTATTTCACAGCTTGAGGACCATCCTCTCCTCCAGCCAGGGTCTGCCTGGCAGGTGGTGGCTGGAGGCAGCCGGGGATGCTGCACGGCAGGCAGCTGCCTGCAGCCTGGCAGGGGCTCGCAGCGCTCCCGTGTGCCACGCAGCAGTGAATGCACGGTCGGGAGAGGCATGAGGTAGCTTTGATAACTTCTGTCCCACCAGTATAAAGACCAGAGTGATAACTACAAAGACCACAGCACCAGCTTTTTATTTCCTCTCCAAACACCTGTGCTTCACTGAAAACTACCCTCATCTCCCTTTTCTTCCACCAGCCTACTCTTGTTCTTTCATTTCTCCCTTTTCTCCTCTCAGTTCAAAACTTCTCCAGCCAGAGGTTATTTCCCTGCACAGAATATAATCACCCATGACTGCTGCCTTCTGCAGAAGAAAAGCCAAGACTTTGCTAATTTGACACCACCTGTACATCACACTCCTGAAGTGGGCCCTTCTGAAAGCCAGGAAATCACTATGGGTTTTTTTGTACCCCAGAACCACTTGGCCAGACGCCACTCAGATGAGCCGAACACAGCAGCACGGGGGTCTGAGCCTGAGCGCTGCCATGCCCCTGCACGAGGCCATCGCTTTGGGGGAAGCTGAACGTGTCCCTGCTGCAGCGATGGGCAGCCAAGGTGACAAATGCCACCAGACCTGCAGTGCAAATCTGCTGCCGCCAAGTGAGACCAAGGACCCAGTAACCACCCATAGCCATGGGCTTTCTCCCCACTTTACGCCCATGCAGTGGAGAAGACACACTCCCAAAGCCCTGCTGTCACCTCCCCAGGAGGAGATGTTCCTTCAGCCTCTTGTAGGATGCAGGCAGGAGCCTGGCAGAGCTCTTCAATAAATTCTTTCTTCTTTCTCTGCTTGGGACAGAAAGTGCGATACCCTGGAAGGATTATGGGCGGCTCCTTTGAAGAAGCAAGCCTGCTGCACTATGAATTAGCACAGAAAATGCCCAGGGACTCGGAAATTCAAGGGTTAGCTGGGAGTCAAGAATTCAGGACTGATCTACCTTGATGGAGCTGTATTTCCAAGGGAGCAAAGGTGAACTGATGCACAGCCCTGCGCCCACCCTCCCCTTGGCTTTCTCATGAAACCTGGATGTGTTCACAGGTGTTTGCTATTTTCTTTTCACTCTGAAATGCATAACCATGCAGACCTTCATATCCCAGCTGACACTGTGAGATTACATCACTTTGGAGACCAGGGTCCTGGTCCTCATTCACCTACTGAACTACTCTGTCACCACAAGGAAACCATTTCACCCCTGCATCACCCCGTGGAGACTGTCCCCTCTTCAGGTCATCCACCCTCAACCAAGGGAGTACTACATCTGGTGCAGCCGGGATCCAGTCTTGGTCAGGTCTACTCGATATCGTTAGAATATGTGCAAGTAAAACAAAAGAAAGATCCTCTTATACAAAGAACTGGGGGGGGGGGGGGGGGGGGGGAGGGGGGGGGGGGGAAGAGAGATGTGAATTCTAACAGTAATAGTTGTTTTTCATTACCAATTTTTTCCATATTAGGAATTTTTTCATGTGGTTGGATTTAATCCACTTCTACAGTGGTTTAACCTAAGCCAGAATAGGATTAAAAGTGTTTACATGGAGACTTAATTCTATTAATGTCTAATAACTATTACTGGCTATTTTTCTCTATAAATAAGAACAGAAAAACACCTCATAAAATCTGACATTCCTCAGCAAATTGGGAGAGGCTTATTTTGAAATCTTAAATTGGATGAGCTATTTCAGCTGTCCCTGACCCTTTTCGGAGAGGTTACACATAGGCCTGTCCAAACGTATGTCCCAGGAATAGACACAAAGCCCAAAGGAGTTAATGAGAAGAAACTGAATTAACTGTGTGTATAGCACATCTCAAGGAGTAAAGAGCCATATCCCTGTCTCACGGCAAGTGCTAAATTCATTAATGTGATGGAGATTCAGTGTAGGACTTCATTTCCTTTAGGGATGGGATTGTGAAAGACTGCCACATGTGACACAAATCCTGTCTCAGGAGACCAGGTTCCTGTTTTTCTTGCTTTTAATGTATTTGTTCTGGAAAGGAAGGGGAATGGCGGTGATGTTAATTATTGAGCTGGCAAAGGTTAAGCAGAAGTTAAGTGATGGCCAGCGCTGGGAACTGAAGTATTTGGGTTATCTACAAGACAGAGGAGACAGCGGCAACTTGAGATTCTCCATTTGATCTCAACCCTGACCTCCTTTCCCTCCCCTCGGTACCGAGAGGTAACTCGCCTTGACTGTGAACTCGGCCCATCACCACTTCCAAAGAGGGACCTTACCAAAGGTACTGACAATGGGTACATTACTGCTGGAGCAGCTCCTGTGAGGTGCCAGCTTGTAAAACCGAACCCAAAGCCAAGTGCAAACGAGGGCAGCAGCAATGAGAGGTCGGGGAGCCAGCTCGAGGCTGAGACACACACAAGTTCTGCCATCTACTGCTGGATTAATCTTAATTAAGCTGTGGCCTTTCCAGATGCTTTGAAATGCATCCCTTGTCTGCTGTCTTTTTTTGTACCAGTACTGTGAAAATCATCCCTCCACGACCTTGCTCCATTCACAAAGATCCCTTAATAAGTGACTCCAAGGAAGGTACGTGAATGGACTAAAGAACTGGTAAAGTCTTGAAGAATTACAGTAAATTCACAAAAGTGGCAAATATTTGACCAGAGATCATCCAGTCTCGTTCCTAGAACTCCCCATGCTGTTGTTAGTGGTGTTCAATACATGCCTGCCCCTCACCATGGAAATTCACAGAAACATATAATGGTACAGCAAAAGGGCACGCAGTTGTCATGGTGATGAATACAGCGGGTGTGCACCGAGTGAGAGAGGGGGAAAGCCGCACAAGGCCATCAATGTAAAGATTTTCACAGTGACTAATAAACTCTGGGTGCCCAAGCTGAGGCATCCTACAAACGTGGCTGATGGGCGAGGGATGCTGGAGTCCCTGTCCTAGGAGAACTGGCTTGACTCAGCTCACCGTGTGTTTCTGTAGTGTCAAAAACTGGAAGAGAAAGCAAAAACAACATTTCAGTCCCCACAGCTACATACATCCATGTAGAGCGGAAGGAGGAGCCCTGCCATGAGGCTGGATTGGGACCACATTCATTAATGCACAGGCTAGGCTGACGTGGGTGGTGCTCACCTCTCAAAAATTTGTTCCAGAGGTAACTATCTTGTCTGTATTAATGTCGTGTAGA